ATACTCAACTCAGTCACAAACACTTTTCTTATTCCTTCCTAAACACCTCACCATATATAACCTATCTCAAAAAATTAAGTTTAAATACCTAACTGCCAACCCTCCCTTCCCCCACCCCCCAACAACCCAGGATGACCCACGGTAGCTCCTCTGGACACCCCCTACCAACAACCTCCGCCTAACGGTGGCCGCCATATCCCTACCCCCATTCCACCCCCAGTGTTACCCACCCTCCTCCTCCGTGTCAAACAGAGAAAATAGCGGCGATAACGCTAAATTTACCCAGCCAAACCGTTCGCCTCATTTGGACATACACCAGTAAATATTAATTATTACACCTGTTTAAACATTCACATATCAGTCAGTTAGCCTAAATTCTCCTCTATTCATTCATTCATGACACTGCTTCACTTGACTGCAACATCATCGAATAACCCTGCCATTTTTTCTAACTGTCAACACAAACTCACAATTTCACATGTCAATCATTGCAATTGTTTATAAAAAGACACTAACTAACCCTGTTTGCTCCGAGGTATAAATACAGGTGCCAAATTTTATTCAGATGGCAACTCCAGCGTGGCCTAGTCGGATAGAACATGTTCCTAATCCGGATAGACCTGCGTTCGAGCCTGTCGCAACGGATGCAACTACAGGGCACAGATAGATTTCTGTGATGTCCTCTCCTGTAGGAGCATCAGTTTCGATAGATTCTCTGGATAGCCGAAGATTGATTGACTGATCCCTTGGAATGTGGGGAAGGGTTGAAATCCGGGGGCCCACGGACGGATACCTGGATCCACTGACCTCGGGCAGGTCTTTCAATTCACCTGGATTTCAGGTGGGGAGAAGGGAGGCAATTTGGGTCGACACAAATGGCTTCCTGGACCCAGAACTCCATGGATACACGTGTTCGTGTATCCTTGGATACATGTCCGTGTATCACAGACAAGCATAGATAGTCACACGGATTGATCACACGGATACATTTCCGTGTGATCCGTGAATCCGTGTGATACGGGATTCGAACCTAGGTGGGTGGGGATAAGGATAAGGGAGGCAATTTGAGGGGACACAAATGGCTTCCTGGACCCCAGAACCCCATGGATAACCCTAAACATAATACGGTTACGAAATCCCATAAGATAAGATACACGGACATACATAAGATACACGAAAATCCCTAAGATACACGGATAGGTTCGTGTCACAGGTAACAGGGGGACGGAAAGGAGGGAGGAAGAGAGGGAGGGAGGGAGGAATAGAGAGAGGGAGGGGTATAATTAAATTTCAATTATCAATTTTATTAATTACAATTAAATCAATTTAAATTAATTTAACTCAATTTAATTGGAGTTATTTTTATATAATTATATAATTTATATAATTAGATATATAGTTAGATTATATAGTTAATATAGATATATATAGTTATATATATAATTGGAGTTATATAATTGGAGTAAATTTAGTTAAGATCTTTAAGATCTTTACTCTTAATTTAAATGAGTTTAAATCTAGGGAGGGAAGGAGGGAAGTTTATTTTCTGTTGTTAGTTAGGGTTTAACCAACCTAGCCAACCTAAACTAACCTAACCTAACCTAATATAACCAACCTTTTTTAAAGTTCATAAACCTTCATAACATTAATGTAAACTATATTAAAGAAAATTATTTTAAAAAATAAACTATATTAAATAAAAGTTAAACTTGTTCCTTAACTAGTTCCTTGTTCCTCCCTTTATAAACCTTTGATACCTATAGGTTAAAAATAATACGGTCATTAACTTCAATTAGTTTTAGGTTAGCTTAGGTTATAGGTTAGGTTAGGTTTAGGTTTAGGTTAAGTTGGTAAAGTCAGTGCTTTAAACAACCGACGGCTAAAAGGACAGACTCCAAGATTAATACTCTATCCTGCTGGATCGAGCATTAATGTGCATTAAATTATAAATTAAATTAAATTATTACATTTTTAAATTATTAGCATTAAATCATGAATTGGATCAATGTGTGTACTCACACGTAGGTGAGTACACAAAAATGAATGACTTGTTCCTTCTCGTCTCACAATCGGGGATTCAAGGGTTCGAATCCCGGTCGGACAGGGTAGCGTTTAGCGTTTTGGTAGCGTTTCCTTTCACCCAATGCCTCTATTCACCTAGAAGTAAATAGTGAGTTACTTGCATCCTGGTCAGTGAGTGAGGGTTAGTCACTAGTTGGACCTTGTGGGGTAGGTGTTATAAGCCTAACATATGTATATATAAACTGCTTGTTCCACGACTCAGTGATTTTACATGTGTTGACTAAATGAAGCCTAAGAGAGAATATCTAAGACTATCTAATATTAATATTATCTAATATTTGGCCATTTTAGATTATTTTTACTTTTAAATTATTTGAATTTATGCCATGGCCATTTATGCTTAGAAGAGATTTGCTTTGGTTCTTTAATTACCGGTAGGTATGTGGCATTTGTATAGAATTTGTGCGAGATCAATAGCATCCCAACATTTTCATTTTGGAGAAACACTCCATTTGTTGTTGGTTTGACTAAATAGTTGCTATAAGCACTATCTTTAATGGAGAATTGGCTGGTATGTGTGAGTAAACTCTATGATGCAGTTTTAGGTTAGTTTGGGTTACTGGTTAGATTAGGTTTTAAGTGACGGAGTTCAGGTTTGATTAGGTGACAGGTTGATGATTAGATGACACACACAACCCTGTGAGTGTGTGTGTGTGTGTGTGTGTGTGTTTGTGTAAGAATGTCGCACATTGAAATGTGTACATGTGATTATAATAGTTTTTACCATCTGTGAAGAAAATGTCTGTAACCATTTGTCATTCCATTTTCTGCCTGCCTTGCCTGCCTGCCTGCCTGCCTGCCTGCCTGCCTGCCTGCTAAAACTTCTCCACTCAATATGCTGTTGAATATCAATCTCCAGTGTTCACTTACCGTTAATTCATACAATATTAAACAAATGAAGTCATTAACAAATCTTTAAACATTTTCAGCACCTACATTCTTTCTAACATGAATCACAGTAACTAATATACTCAACTCAGTCACAAACACTTTTCTTATTCCTTCCTAAACACCTCACCATATATAACCTATCTCAAAAAATTAAGTTTAAATACCTAACTGCCAACCCTCCCTTCCCCCCCCCCCCCCCCCAACAACCCAGGATGACCCACGGTAGCTCCTCTGGACACCCCCTACCAACAACCTCCGCCTAACGGTGGCCGCCATATCCCTACCCCCATTCCACCCCCAGTGTTACCCACCCTCCTCCTCCGTGTCAAACAGAGAAAATAGCGGCGATAACGCTAAATTTACCCAGCCAAACCGTTCGCCTCATTTGGACATACACCAGTAAATATTAATTATTACACCTGTTTAAACATTCACATATCAGTCAGTTAGCCTAAATTCTCCTCTATTCATTCATTCATGACACTGCTTCACTTGACTGCAACATCATCGAATAACCCTGCCATTTTTTCTAACTGTCAACACAAACTCACAATTTCACATGTCAATCATTGCAATTGTTTATAAAAAGACACTAACTAACCCTGTTTGCTCCGAGGTATAAATACAGGTGCCAAATTTTATTCAGATGGCAACTCCAGCGTGGCCTAGTCGGATAGAACATGTTCCTAATCCGGATAGACCTGCGTTCGAGCCTGTCGCAACGGATGCAACTACAGGGCACAGATAGATTTCTGTGATGTCCTCTCCTGTAGGAGCATCAGTTTCGATAGATTCTCTGGATAGCCGAAGATTGATTGACTGATCCCTTGGAATGTGGGGAAGGGTTGAAATCCGGGGGCCCACGGACGGATACCTGGATCCACTGACCTCGGGCAGGTCTTTCAATTCACCTGGATTTCAGGTGGGGAGAAGGGAGGCAATTTGGGTCGACACAAATGGCTTCCTGGACCCAGAACTCCATGGATACACGTGTTCGTGTATCCTTGGATACATGTCCGTGTATCACAGACAAGCATAGATAGTCACACGGATTGATCACACGGATACATTTCCGTGTGATCCGTGAATCCGTGTGATACGGGATTCGAACCTAGGTGGGTGGGGATAAGGATAAGGGAGGCAATTTGAGGGGACACAAATGGCTTCCTGGACCCCAGAACCCCATGGATAACCCTAAACATAATACGGTTACGAAATCCCATAAGATAAGATACACGGACATACATAAGATACACGAAAATCCCTAAGATACACGGATAGGTTCGTGTCACAGGTAACAGGGGGACGGAAAGGAGGGAGGAAGAGAGGGAGGGAGGGAGGAATAGAGAGAGGGAGGGGTATAATTAAATTTCAATTATCAATTTTATTAATTACAATTAAATCAATTTAAATTAATTTAACTCAATTTAATTGGAGTTATTTTTATATAATTATATAATTTATATAATTAGATATATAGTTAGATTATATAGTTAATATAGATATATATAGTTATATATATAATTGGAGTTATATAATTGGAGTAAATTTAGTTAAGATCTTTAAGATCTTTACTCTTAATTTAAATGAGTTTAAATCTAGGGAGGGAAGGAGGGAAGTTTATTTTCTGTTGTTAGTTAGGGTTTAACCAACCTAGCCAACCTAAACTAACCTAACCTAACCTAATATAACCAACCTTTTTTAAAGTTCATAAACCTTCATAACATTAATGTAAACTATATTAAAGAAAATTATTTTAAAAAATAAACTATATTAAATAAAAGTTAAACTTGTTCCTTAACTAGTTCCTTGTTCCTCCCTTTATAAACCTTTGATACCTATAGGTTAAAAATAATACGGTCATTAACTTCAATTAGTTTTAGGTTAGTTTAGGTTATAGGTTAGGTTAGGTT